AAATTTATACATGCATACATAAATGCACGCACATGCCAAATTTGACAACCATAAAGTAAAAGAAATGGACATATAATTCGAAATTCTGACAGCTGCAAACTGTAGTGTTTTATTATAATGAACTCCGAAATAAGACGACACACTTTCAAGTAGTAACATAAAGATTGAGTATTTCGTCAGGAAGATGTGAACTCTTTATTTTGAGTCCCATCACTTAGAAAATGATGTATAATGGTAAGGGGCGTCGCTAGACCCTTTTTAGTGGGGAGGGGGGGGGGGTGTAGAGGCCAACGATTACCGACAAAACTAGTCCCAATTACCGACAAAATTAAATGTCCCAATATTTACAAATTTAACCCTATATACCCGGGGCCGAGGGCTAAATTGTTTTTCCTACGGACTATTTATAGTACTTGCGTATGCGCAAATGGTCATTTTCCTCGACGACATAAATATACGAATTATTTCGTCAACTTAGTCAGCATCATAGCTATATATTTTAATGGAGGCGCGGAGCTAGGATCTCATTTTAGGGAGGGGCGGTAGTGAGCAGGTGAATCACTCAAAGAGTGCGCGAAGCGCGCTCATTAGGGGGTGTGGGTGGTAGTCCTACCGCGCGAAACGCGGAAGCTTAGACGTTTCCTTAAATTATTAGGAAAAGAAGACGATTTATTGTACCGTTCTCGACTGTTAACCCTTGTCTGTATGAATTCCCCCGCCCCTCCCGCGCAAAGCGCGAAAGCTTTGGCGTTTCATTAAATTATTATAAAAAGAAGACGATTTGCTGTACCGTTATCGTCTGTAAATCCTTGTCTGAATTCAGTTCCCCCCCCCCTCCCGCGCGGAAGTTTTGGCGTTTTATTAAATTATTAGAGAAAGCAGACGATTCGATGTACCGTTTTCGACTCTTAATAAGCCCTATTTATCTGAATTCAGTTTCACCCTCTCGCGCGAAGCGCGGAAGCTTTGTCATTTCATTAAATTATTAGAGAAAGTAGACGATTTGTTAAACCGTGCTCGACTCTAAATCTTTGTCTGAATTCGGTTCACCCCTCCCGCGCAAAGCGCGGAAGTTTTGACGTTTCATTAAATTATTAGAGAAAGCAGACGATTGGGTGTACAGTTCTCGACTCTTAATTCTCGTCTAAATTCAGTTTTCCCTTCCCGCGCGAAGCGCGAAAAGCTTAGACGTTTGATTTAATTATTATAGAAAGAAGACGAGAAGGCGAACTTTAGAACGTTCTTGAAACGGTCTAACCTGCAACAGCGCTTTATACTGACCGTTCGACCACACACGGCGCAATCAAGATCAGTGCAGTCGTCACGGTAACCTATTGGCCCCCTACCTCCCCTAGATCGCGCGGGCGGGAAAAATTGTTCTGCATTGCTAGCGCGAGAGAGCGGAGCATGCATGCGGTGCAATATGCAGAAGACTGCGTGGCCGGCCGGCCGGGGCGCGGCCCAATGCATTTTGTGTATATAGTGGGATTCTTATTATTCTGAAGTTTATGAAGTGCTTGTTCGCGCACGTCGCGCAACCATTCTTAATGATAGTGACACACTGTATACGTGTAGGCTATACAGTTATACATACATAAAAAATAACTCATTTCTCATGCATTATGCTGAAATTGAAACAATCACATTTTTTTCTTCTTCTTATTCCCTTTTTTCTCTCTTTTTGTTGTAATATCAGGGGGGATGTTTGTACAGGCCACCCCCCCTACTTCAAGCCAGGGGGGGGGGGGGGGGGATGCAGCCCCCCACCCCCGGGATTTACGCCCCTGTATGGGACTATAAAAACATGTGCCATAAAAATCGGGCCTCATTTTTAAACTGATACTTGTCATTATGAAGGCATTTGAAGAGCCATGCTTTTCAGGAAACTCAAAGTCAAACTTCTTTTTAAGTACCAACCATTTTAAGTTAATTTGTTATAAGTGAAACATTTGAAGTTTTTACAGCCACGACGTAAACAACCCTAAATAAAGTTTAGTCCAAATAACGGTCCAGCCACATTGAAACCTAATGAATGAAAAATAACGCACAATCCTTTGTATATAGGCGCAAAATAACTACAAAAAAGAAGCTTCTTCAATTTATGAATAGGCCATTTTCGTAATGTAACCAAATTTAATACGTAAGTCTTTGTAAAGTGCCTCAATACAAATTATTTCATTCACCTGATAAGAATAATAGTATTTCAATAGTCAGAATGCAAACTGCAAACATTAAGTGTTGCTAGGTAGGTCAAGCCATAATGTTTGTCCAACCTGGCAACAACTAATGTATGCAGTTCGGATTCTGTCTTTGAAATACTATTATTCTTATCAGGTGAATGAAATAATTTGTATTGAGGCACTTCACAAAGACTTACGCATTAAATTAGGTTACATTACGAAAATGGCCTATTGGAAAGTCTATTGGTTTTATAATCTTTACCGTGACTTGAAAGAAATTGACGAATTTTCAGTATATATTTTTTTCAAACAGAAAAATCCGACTCCCACTTTATTCTCTTTTTTTTTTAAACATCCGGTTATGACAGAAGATGATTAATGTAAAGAATATAAAATAATTATCGGAATAAATCAACAAATTTGGGCACCTTATACCCGGTATTTTTCCCGTTTCGATCATTGTGCTTTCCCATAAAGTTTCGCAGTATCTTAAATTTATATCCTCACGGGCTCATTATTGCATGCCTATACGGTCACTTGATACCGAATGATAAATTCATTTTTTTTTAAATCGCACTGATGGGGTAGATAAAGCATGAAGCTGATTTACATACGAGTAATAACAGATTGATTTAAGGAGAATTATATTTCGAGAAGTAAAGACAGATGAGAAATCAATGAAACCAGACAAACAAAAATCATATTGTAGGAATTGGAATCTCATTCAAGACACTCGATGCGTGCATAGAAGGATTGAGGGGAAACTGGCTATAGTAAGGAATTAAAAGGTGTTGCAAAAGATTTAAAACTCAATCCTGGGCTAAATTGCGATTACTATGCCGTGTTTAAAAATATTCTTTGACAAATATGAAAAACAGTTGATTTTATATGCTTAAAAGAAACCCAGAGATCACCAATACTATTATAATACGTAATTACACTCCGTTCATTATCAGTATGAGTATATGTAAGAAATGCCCCCCCCCCCCCCTGAAATGGCTTACTGTCTCACCCAAAGACGTCCTGCCATTTTTACGTCAAACACCAAATGCGTATTTTTTGTACTTGTCACGTGATAAATGTGACGTCACTCCCCTTGTGTCATTGCTCATGCTCTTCCTAACAAACCATTGTTATGTTATACGCGCGTTGCGCGCAATTTTGACGTAACAATTATTTTTTGCGACATGGAAACATGTAAACAATAATAACTATATCACAGATTTTATCTTGCCGTGTCTCAAAGAATATTTATGTTGGATTATCACAGAGGTATGACTTTATGTTGGATTATCACAAAGGTAGGACACAACTGTCTTCCTCTTCGTTTTCAGTTAAAAATGTTTTAAGCATTTTAGTTTATTATATGTTTTGATCCTTATGTTCATCTTTACCGCTGAGAAAACATGTATTTACTTCTTAAAGGTAAGTCGCCAGAGACTTCCCGGTTGTGCCAGGTAGTGCCATCTGAATCGAGTGAACTAGGTATGAATATTATGTAAGACGTAATGCTACTAACTGACTGAAAGACACTATAAAACACTGTGAAAATTGAGGACATTACACCACAGGATACCTAAATCTTGACTTTCCAAATATAGTTATTGTTCTTGAGGCGAGGTGAGCATGTTCTTAGAATGTTATATTTATCATTCATCCTTCTGTCTGTCTGTCTGCCTGTTTCTTTTCCTCTCTCTCCCTCTCTCTCCCTCTCTGTGTCCTATCTCTCTCTGTCTCTCTGTCTCTTTCTATCTCTGCCCCACTCCCCTCATCAGTAGCGTAACTTGATATCGTAAGTATGGGGTGGGTAGCAAGTACATCAAATGCAAATTGAAGGAGCACGAGAAACCATATCAAGGGGGGGGGGGGGAACGTCTTTAGAATGAAAACTATTTGGTAATTTCCTTTACAAAATGTCAGACCCGATTCCTGGATTAGAGTATTAAATAGTATCTCAAGAATTACAAAAAAGAAAAAGAAAGAAAACACAATTACTTTACTCCGCTTGTCGTGTATAAAGGGTTTTCTTACTTACGCCCCGTTAACCAGTATAGAGTTGGATAAATGATGATCTTTTATTGTGATATGAAATACGTTTACAATTGACTTAGTACCACAATGTATTTAATGGTATACTTGAAGTAGGTGTAATTTCATGTTTGCCCTTTTCCACAGGATACGTTCTTGCTCTTCGTCTCTCTCTCTCCTTTCACATCTCTCTCTCTCTTTCTTCCTTACTCTCTTGTTCTATCTCTCTCTCTCTCTTTCTCTGTCTTCCCCTCTCTCTCTCTATCTTCCCCCCCCCCTCTCTCTCTCTCTCTTAACAATTCACCCTAATTATCGTGTGTGTGGGGCGCCACTTCGAGCCTTTACATTTGGATGGAATTGTCCTTCCATGGGCATTTCACTCATGGTATGACAAATAACTAAAAATCACTAGAAATCGCTAGAAAATGTCGAATTGGAACATTTCTCCTACGAGCATAAATGGAGTTTGAATATAACTTTAACTTGTTGCTGATATTGTTTTTAAAAGAGGTGACTTGTAGTAAAAACAAATCACAGAATATAGCTTTAAATAACATACTCATGTGCTGAGGGCAGACTTTGAATGAATTGAAATTCCTTCTTTATAAGCGTGCATTTTGGATTTTGAATATAAATGATCTAAAACTCATAACCGCCAATAGCATGGTATAAAGAGGGTAACAAAAACAAAGTTTACACAAACAAAATATAAATTCAAAAGATACTTTATTTGCAATAAACCAACTTGCTCAATAACTTTTCTGAAAAAGAGAAAAAATATTTATCAGGGTATTTTACGTACAAGAGTAACTATACCAAAACTGATCATGGGCCAATAATGACATATAATAACATTTTTATTTGATTGGAATTATTTTGAGTGGAGTGTTATTTAGAAGTAAAGTAAATAGTCAAAGCCAAGAACAAGGAGCTATGAAAGTCCACGGGTTGATAAAAGTAAACAACGAAGCTAGTTAAACTTGAAACATTGAAATTACTTTACTCACAAAAGGAATTATATTTGTTTTTCGACCACCATAAACATCTGCAAAACATTTGTTATCATGCTTATTGTAATGACTAGACGCTTGTTCGAAAACGATATGCAGTTTTCATCAAGGTTTAAAAGCAAAGAGTCAACTAAAAAAACAAATGATTCACGAAATTCTATTCTGGATTTTCTTGTGTAGAATAGGGTTTTGTCCACTTCACAATTTCTGACTTTCAATTACTATTACTGTTTTGTCGCAATATTTATTTCACCTTGCGTCATCTTTCTACCATTGTATGCACACGGAAACTTTGTTGTGAAATAAGAAATTACTCCTTTGGCAAGAGTAGAGTGGCCAGTTTTATGCTGAAAATGACAGTCTCCTAAAAAGTGAAAGTTGCATTCATAAATGTCGTTATCAGAAATATTGGATTATAATGACGTAGATTTTTTTTTACCACGAATGGATACAATTTCTATTGAAAAATATTTCCTTTCAAAACACTGAGAATCACTTTGAGTGCATGTAGAAATTTTCTCTTGACAATAGTGGTAATTCAATTCATATATAAACTACTGCGGACTTCACAAATCTTCCACGTAGACTTTTCTTGGTTGGCATTCTCGACTAAGATCGTAAAACTACGTTGCAGTTATCTATATTTTTGTCTCCTTTATAGATTAAAGTATGACTGTTACCATTTCAGCATTTTTGTTTGCATTACTAATAATAGAAGGGACATAGAGTAACAATGCGCTTGAAATTATCTCTATATGAGTTTGGTGTATTTATTTAAATCCCAGTTCTTAATTTTGCAATTAAATTCTACATTTCATCTTGTTATCTTCCTCTCTTTTGATTCATTACTTCCAAATGTCTTTGTTTATGAGTACTAACTCCTGGAAGTAGCCTTTCTACAATTACTCAAAATATAGAACGAAATCTTGTTCAGATATACACGTGAGACTCATTTTTACCTACTCTTAAAGACTGAAGCTATTGCAGTTCTATTAGATGATACCGTAATTACAAAATTGACGACCAGTATTAACACAGCTGATATCCGAGAATGACCTTTGATTGGAGGTTTACCGGAATAGTCCTGGGTATTCAGGTTATAGGAATGTTTCAGTTTCTTCGTAGTTGTCGTTTCTTAGAGATGCATTTGTCGATTCCACGCCGCCTCACAATCATAAAGATGTCGATGCCATGAAAAGCAGACTCATACGCTTGACAGAAGTTCCTTTCGGAGTTTTCAGGATCACGTACCATCTAGCAAGTGTGCAGGAGAAGTCCAAAAATAACAGCTCAGTACCGGAACGTAAATAGATTCTGGTCACTGACAAACAAGCCCCGAAGAGGTCAAGACTAAACAGCTCAGTATTAAAAACATAAATAAAAATCTTAAATCTAGTCAAAAGACAATGTCCTTTAGAGTCCTCCTGTAGTTGATGTACCTTGTAGGTAAAATAAGAGAGCGGGTGGGGGATTAAGGTCTAAGATGAGTCTCTACAAGAGCCAGCTGATATCATCATGGATGCGACAGACGCACCACCTGGTGTCCCTACTGCATGCTCCACCCTGGAGGGCGTTACAGTTGTAACCACGGCGACAGTTGTGTGCGTTGTCTTGGTCCACTTTACAGAAAGATCGTCCGAGTCCACCCTGAGCAAAACAAAAAGGGGAAAAAAGAAAGAAGAAATAACGCTCGTTATTATTTATTGGAATTCTTTAAGTTTACCACAGTTTTATCAGTGAAAGCTTAAAGCCATACTCTAGGGATATTCCTGATACAAAAGGCGTGTCTGCACTATCTCGAGATTGCCAAATATCCAGCTATTTTGAACTATCCCGATCGAAACTATCCAGCTATTTGCGTCTTCATTAGACCGAAGTGGCAAATTAGCTGGATCGTTGGTCGGGATAATATCCCAAGATATCTCGGTCTAGTTTGCAAAATATCCTTCTATTTCCGAACTAGCTGGATAGTTTGCGACCGTCTTCATTAGACCGAAGTACGGAGTCAATTATCCCGATCCCATCATGCACAACGATTTCCGGTTCGCACATGCGATCTATACCGCTCAGCGCTGACCTCGCAACCACTGACCTCGAGTAAACACGGAAAACCGCAAACTAGACCAAGATATCTTGGGATATTATCCCGACCAACTATCCAGCTAATTTGCTACTTCAGTCTAATGAAGACGCAAATAAGCTGGATAGTTTGCGATCGGGATAATTCAAATAGCTGGATATTTGGCAATCTCGAGATAGTGCAGACACGCCTAAAGGGTCTTTAATAGTCCAATTATACCAGGATTGGCAGAGGTCACCAGATTGATGTCTGTAAACGTTTGTAGAGACTAGTCTTTATTTGATTATTTGTTATAACGTGAACGTATCGTGATTGACTTTTGTTTAAAATTCACCTATACGTTCTCATCCCCTGTAAACTTTAATCGCTATCTCACTCTCTCCATTATGTCTCTCCGTCTTTCAACTCTCACATTTACTTCCTCTTTGTCCAGTCTTTCATCCGTCCGTGCCCATTTTCCCTATTCTTTTTCTTTAATTTTTGTATAAACCAATCTCTCCATTCCCGTAAACACCCTCTCCTTCTCCATCCCGCTTGCGAAGTCGCTCGAAAAGCTTTATGTTTTCGCTATTAGAGTAGAAGTTATATATACACCATGATTTTGAGCTGCTATTCTTCTCTTGTCATTAATGGGAAGGTCAATCGCTGGTCCTCTTGATTTGTGAATGAAATATCATCTAGAGGAAGGAGATTTATCTAGCAAACGCACGAATAAAATATGAATTCAATGTCACACTGAAATGTCACGTTCTGCCCTCTCTGACTTCCATTCACAATTGCACACCCACCAAAAGCTAAAGGTGCCCCTTTGAAGTTCGAATCCTCTCAAATCACGATTTTAAGGTTCATCACTAAAAATGTCAACCACTTGCAAATCAAAGATAGAATATGTCTAATTGTTTGCCTTCCAAGTTGCGTGTGCTTGACTCTCATTCTGCCCTTTCCCACGATTCGCGTGTGACAGCTTTGAGGAAATAAAACTTGATTAAAAAAGTGAACTTGAGATCTTTTTCTTTAACCTTTGTCAGATGAATTTTGTGAAGATTGTTATTTACTAACGGTATACTACTCGTGTATAATTATAATGATGATAGGTATATGAAATGATTTATTTTGTGCATTATGTTAGTTCAAATTTTTCAGTCAATCGGGCTGGATGCAAGGTGATGGCACAGAGTTAAGGCCAATTTCCTCTCCCAACATCTAATCTCAAGTGAAATATATCTTGATGCTATTAGATATTCTTTGGTGGCAGGTAAAAATGGAGGAAAATTGGACTAACAAACGTTGGTGCATTGGCCCATGTGCACGAATAAAAAAGGATACAAATGAAACACAAATATCATAAACAAGATCTCAATTTTGATTTGATTTGTTCCACATGAGACACAATATCTGACCTGTCCTGTCACAAACGGAAACAATTGAAAGACGAAAACAATCAAAAAAGCATTGAGAGCAAAATCGTAACAAAATACCAACTTTCCATTCTGAAAATAATTTGGGAAATCCCAAGTACAAGTATTTGGCAATTTGTTGGCTCATAATTATGTACGTGACTAAATAATGTAGGGTAATGAACATGAATGGGCACCAATGCGTATAATCTGTCTGATCCGAAATCTACTTGGGGTTATGAAAATAAAACTAAATTCTTACATGTGGTCGGTAGCGTTTAACTATATATCAAGATTATGGAACGTAATAGCCTCGTCTTTTCCACATCTTCCGGTAATACGGTAGCCAAGATATCCGTGGGATTCTGAATGTCTTTAAACGTAAGTCCATTTTCCAGATAACTTTCAGTATTGTGGTGAAGCTATGCCACAAATTCATGAACGATCAGCTTTCATTAACCTTGAGAAATCACTACGAAGAGAACTTCCAATGGTGAAACCAAGAAGTTACTAGCAGGTGAAACGGAATATCTTGAAGATTTTACATGGATTAATCGACTTTCATATCAAACGAAAATGGGAACATGATGATCTTAAGTTTGATCTGATTAGGTCCTGGTGTTCAAAAGAAAATTGACATCTTCAGCAGAGGTAAAAAAAAATTAACGCATCACGCGTTAAATGTAATATTTGATTTGGGGGTTTCTCTTAAGATATGCCTCTTGTTATCAAGCATAGTCTTTAAATCTACCGGAGAGTATCACTTTTCGATTATAATTAAAATCATTATCAATAATAGTAATTGAAATAAAGAACAACAGAAAATACAGCATTGTCATCTTTTTCTTTTGAATGAACAAAGCGTCTATCGTATAACTCACAGCATCCATTAGAAATTAATATGCTCATCGATAAAGGTTAATCACGGCCAACACTTACTATGAAAACCTTATTCACAGGGAACGACAATCAATCTAATTCAAATTATCTGCACTTCGTTCGGTGAGCGAGAACGGGGCACTTACTGACTGAAAATATAAAATGTGACCTTTATAGATTAAAATGTCTATAATGTGATCATGCTGATAGGTGTACCTACACCATTTAAGGGATAATTGAGTTCTTGTTTTAGACAGCAAATGCCTTCAAAGTGCATAGTTATTGCTCTTATTCTTATTTATGACATTTCTAGTGCTCTTTAATAGGACCTAAATTTGCTATGAAGGTAATTTTAAACCCTACATCTGTGTTCTTAGTTTTGTCTCGTTTTGAATAATTGCTGTCAACCGTAGAACCTGTCATCACAATAAGCGTAACGTTCTTTTTAGTTGATCCATGTTACAAAGGATAATCCTTAATTGTTGTATATACAGTTTCTTTACATTATATGCCGTGGAAAACGATATAACGGTAGGTTTTAAAGATCCATGATCAATGAACGATTCTTGGTCATTCTAGATCATTATGCAATATTGCATCAGTTTGTATCGGTCTGATCTTGGTTTCATCAGCGTCATCGGCCAATACCCCCTTTTCCGACTGATTCTGCACATCTCCAAGAGTGTTACTCTGGCACCCCCTATAAAAATATGTACCCCTAAAGGCCCTAGGCTAATGATTCCCAAGTGCACACTCCTTCCCGGAGGGGGAGTATTCAAAAGAGGATAATCGTGTTTAATTATGGCTAGTCTTCCGGGGGGGGGGGGTGTCGTAGTCCTCGGGATAATTTTCCGGGAATAGCTGTCTAGGTATTAAGTTAGGGGTAGATGTCAAATGTATTTTTCTGGAGCAGTTGTCAGGTAGAGTTGACTGGGGATAGTTTTTTTCGGGGAAGGATAGTTGCTCAGGAAGTAATTTTCCCAAGGAAGGGGCGGGGGTACGGTTGTCTTAAAAGTCTTTTCCGCATATGTTCTTCAATATGATAAAGCCCCGATAAATCATAATCATTAGGATTACAAATGATCATCTTGTATAAGAGAGAATTTAATTATCATCAGTTTTACGAAGACATTTATATGTTTTAATCAGAATTATGCAAATCAATTACTCAAAATGAACTTTTCAGCTGATTTTAGTGATCGACTATAAAGCACTGCCCACGCAGAAAAGAGTCTCAATTTCAAATTGTATGTTTCCTTGTTCCATATGTAAATTTCCTGGATTGAAAATGAAAAAGGGATCTTGTTACGAAGAAACCTCTTTTTTTTTTTTTTTTTTGGCTCCTGAGAGTGACTTTTCATCTTCCTTTTTCTGTTTTGTTTTTATTTCTTTTGGTAAGTGATTTTTTTCGATTCTTACAAGCATATACATTTTTTATCAATAAAACAGATTAACCATTTACTTCTAATTACACTTTCATCCGGAGGTTCACCTGAATTAGATTAATTAATGCAGGTGATAACCCAGTTAGTTACAATAATTTGCTATTCATACTAATTGCCAAATGGGATTTACTCTCAGACAACTGCTGTTTGATCCGAATGCTGACATGTGATACAGCGTTTTGGTTTTCTAAACTGTCTTTCAATTAATCTTGTAGTGCAGATAACCCCTCTTGATCTTGGAGGCACATTAGCGAGATAGCGTTTGTTCAGATGTTATGGATGATCATGGTCGAGAGCGAGCCAAGTGGTGAATAGGAGGGCAGGTGACAAGGAAAATCGCGAATAAATACCCTAGATGGATGCGGAAGTTTGATCGGAATCTGAGCGTTGAACTATATGGGTGGATATGTGCGTGTGCGAGTGTGTAAGAGTGTGTACGTTACGTCTTGCTAGCGCTTGGATGCTGTGAAGCGGAGCTGTGAAAGTGGGATGGGAGTATCGATTAACTGTATGGAAAAGTTGGCAGGAAATAGGACGCTTGTAGCTCTGGCAAAAACAAAATTAATTAAACTTGTTCTACTTTGTGCATACTTCATGAATCTCTCATCTTTTTCTAATCACATGAACACCCGTTCTTAACTATTTGTTTGTTATTGTAATGAGAAAGTAAAAGGTACAACTTTTCATATATCCAAGAATAAAGCATCTCGATTTACTTCACCCTTTCTCTCTTACATTTGATATTTTGCTGAGTGTTTTAAAATTCCTGACTAGCTTTTCCATGAGGAAGAAGTAACTTAAAGAAATTATTATCTCTTTTTTTCAATAAATATTCCATATTCTAGGTGGACAATCGATATCTAAAAAGTCATTCGAATGCATATCTTTCTGGACCAAGTCCTTACCCCAATTTCCGTTTGTTACCTAAAAAGAGGAGGAGGAAAAGGAAAAACCCTTCTTCACCATTTCAAGACATTTGGCATCGTTCGTAATTGAAAGGAAATACCTTGTGGCCAAACTGAACTGAAATATTTACATTCCATCATGTGATTTCATGCAAAAGGTACATCGGTTTGATCTAAATGAAAAGATAAATAATCTATATATAATGAAGGGAATGTTTTGAAAAATGCCTAGGGCGGGGTCGGCGCTACCCATTTGAGAGGTAGAAATTTAGCCAACACCCTCACAAGAATTTGTATTTCGTTAATCAGAACCATTGCGTGTGCATTGGGTATGATTGAGTTGGAATTTACAGAATTCATGTACTACTCTTGTTGGCTAATGCATCATACACTACAGATGATAGCCCTATTTATTGAGAAGATTGATTTCCCAAGAGGGGTAAAACTTGTTAAAATTGAAAGCAAAAGGTCGTTATTAGGAATTGTTTTTTGTAGCACATCCAAAAGATATTTACCGGTTATTGGCGGACAACTTTCAATTTTTAAGTACACTTCTGAGGGAGATGTCTGAACCACAGCCACTGAATCTGTCACAGGTAAATGCTTTTTAGTTGTGTCAACAAACTAATTCATTAAAGAGTTAAACCATGCTGATGAAAGATGTTCAGTATTTTTTTCTGACGTACATGTAGTCATCGATACATTGTAAAATTTGGTTAACAAAACGTGCTACAGTATATTAATATACTTAATTTAGATTACATTCTTTTGTTCGTACTTTTTGGAAGTAATAACGTGCGTATAAATCTGGGGAAGAAGTTAAGAAAGACTATTTCTTAGATATTCGGAGAAAATATTCCATATTAAGGAATTACTATTGATCTCCCACGTAAATATTAATGATATTTGGCAATCGATTTTTCTACTTGGTAGAAACAAGTATACCATAACAGATATCAATACCATAAAAGTTAATAACATCCAAAGCGAATATCAATAACTATAATAGTTATTTCAATAAAGTACATACCGTTGCCGCCACCAACATTATCTTTCCCGTTTTCCCTTATTTTCACCATGCAATTTCATAAATTGAATAAATATAGTACCATTTGGTATCTTTTCAAAAATATTGCATTTTACCATATGTTACAATTTCAAAAATAGTAAACACTTCAGTCACCACAAATATCACTTTTGTTTAGTAGTCCTTAACATTCATGTTAGCCACAAACCTTATAAACACTAAACATTAAAGCAAATAAAGATTGATCAAATTCAACAGAACATCTGATTACTAATTAGAATTCTACTTTTGATTCTAAAAAAATACAATTACCAAATATGTGTATGTATTTTTTCGACCTCAGTTATTTAAAAAAAAAGAATGTCAATTCAATTTTAACAACTGCGAAGATAAAAATATATAAATATTTTCAAAAATTACATGAAATCCAATCAAATATAAATTTCCTTTGTCGGTTTTGTGTTTCATCATAGATAATTCTACTTTAGGAAAGAGAGAAAAAGGAAGTGAGTTCAGAAGAACAATTGTAAAGCCGATTTGAATTCAAAAAGTGTTCATTTCTGTGGAGTAAACCACGTAATTAAACTCTTATGTAGATCCTCTCGTAGTTTACGTTCATGTTTCAATTTTCACTACAACCACGCTCTGAAGTAGAAGAGGTATGTTTTTGAAAAGGTCTTTCTCCTACTGAAAGGCATTACCATTTATTAATTCAATTATTCATGTTCATGGTATTATAGACTAGATACTTTAAGAATGGTAAATCGTGCTGTTTGATGAATTAATTAAGTCGTCTCCTTCTATCCAGTTACCTAATACTTGAAGATATTTTTTTGAAGAATCTGTAATATGGATACTCTTTCTTTATTACCACATTGATTTCTAGTTTTTGTGTCGTTTCTCTCTAAGTGATTGAACTCTTGCTCTTCGTACATGAAAGTAATACATGTACCTGTGAATAAACTATAAAGCCAGGATGAACTCTAAAAAGACAGAGAGAGAGAGAGAGAGAGAAAGAGAGAAAAGAGAGAGAGAAAGAACGAAGTGAGAGAAGAGATAGAGAGAGAGAGAGGGAGAGAGAAGGCAAGGGCGTACGAGAAGAAAGAGCGATAGGGTACGTGAACATGATACGGAATCGCTCATTGTTAACTTTCTGGCTCTGGCTTGGGGCTATCGACGTGCGTTATAAACCAAGTCAAAAATACTGAAAAATATACAAAATCTATCAACAAATTACCATTATTTTTTTCTTCTAATATTACACCTACTATATGTACGTCAGTAGAGGTGAACTACATTAAGAATAAGGTCAGGTGGCAAGAGAGAGGTAGCTGTTTTAAGTTTGTTAAATATTTGTAAGAAGGTTCGCACTTGCTCGGTACAATTGTGCCAAAATCCAGTAACGGAGGTTGTAGATTAAGTTACATAAAAATGGGTCATTTATTTTTGTGCGGTAATCTTGTTTGATACTTAAGTAAGCGTCAAGGTGATAAATTACCAAAGGCGTTGTTAAATGATGCTTGTGATGGTGGGTTTTATCAATTCTAATTTGATGCACTAAAGGAACAGTGTACATATTCGAAGGATTATGCCTTTTTTTACGTTATGTCTTTTTTACGTCATACATTCACATAAAGGCGGTATTTCTAAGAGATGACTTGATCGATTTACTTTCAATCAATGATGTAGACATAATTTATGCATACTTTTATAATTATGTTGCCTCTTAATTTTTTTCCTCCGCGTTTCAGCGAAAAATCCAAAAACGGCGAACAGTCTCATTAATCATAATCTGCCTAGAATATTTTTTCTGTACACCATTTAATTTCATTTTATGTTTTTTCCAATCAAATCCCGAATTCCATATACAGTAAGATTTATGAAGGTTTTGTAAAAAAATATCAAAATTTGATATTTAGAAATATATAGCCTGCCATCATTACTTGTTTATTCTTTTCAGGGAAAAAACAATCCTTGCAAATCCATTTTGATAATTGGATGAGATCTGTGAGTATGTATTCGAAAAATAAAACATAATACTCTTTCATTTTTTGTCTGAAAACAAATCTAATACAAATTGAAGAAGTATAATGGAAGAAGGAGAAGAAGAAAAAACGTCAATCGCGTAGGACGCTGCAAAAACGCAAAAACAGAAATTGCAAGGTAATCACTTATTTCTCCCAGAAAAGAAGATCTTGAGACAAACGTGGCAATTTTGTCTTTTTTTTTTCTACATGCATTTTCATGATACACCGTTTGCCCGTGTAGTATTTTGATAAATTGACTAATAAATTTAAGGATAAGTCTTAGAATAGCACCGCTATGACGGTGATTTTACTTTTTTGAAATTATGATTAAACTTGCCTGTTAGGTAAACGTAATTTGCAAAAACGTTTTCACCGTATCAATCAAAAATCATCCAAAATGAGATCGATCCTTTCAATTATCGAATCATGAACTTTTGTTAAAGTATGAGACAGGTAAGGATTTAATACAATCAGATATCGTTCGATTTGTTTAATTTAAAATGAAAGGATGCATTGAAGACCTTGATTATAGAATAGAACAACATCGACACTAGGCGAATCATACACCCGCAAAAATAAATGAACCGAGAAATTGCTCATATGAATACATCTTTCGATTATTAGTTGACGTGAAATTATAGTAGATGTACTGTTCTGTAAAAGGAAATTGTGTCCCCTTTTTCTTTCCTTTGCAATCGTACCTCAATTTGTTCAATTCTCTTTCGATTCTACATTACGTGTGCTTTTAAATGAGGCATGTAATTTCTTCCAACGAACATTAACATAAACTACACCAGCTAAGCAAAAAATGTCTCCCCGTGATAAATAATCATAATAGATGTTCATTGAATGCTGTAAATATATATTTATTCTTGATTGAAATTGTAAATTGCTACAGGCTAGAATTCCGCGGATTTTAGATTTTGTTAGTGACAGATGATGTGGTATCAAAAGCCTTTTTTGTTGGTGTTTCTATGCCTATGATTAGCTTTTTAAGTTTAGATCTGGGCATTTTATCGGACAAGCAATAAATGCCTGTCCTTTGTTTAAAAAACAAACAAAAACATTGGTAGCAAAAAAAATGTCTTTCCTTGGTGACAAATATATTTTGTACTAAAGATCGGTTCGCTGAATATCCTGAGGGATACGCTTAAGAAACCGTATATCATTCAAATAATATTACAAAAAATGGTGTTGTATCTTTGAAACTATCTTATATCCAGTTTATTAAACGAATGTAATTGATATTTAATCAAAAACTTTAAACTTTTTCTCGGTGTTCGCGGAGGTCATCTGTTACCCCCTAATACGTTGGTATTAAACAATGCAGTGCATATTTTTTGTATGACACTTAAAATAGATTTCACTGAATCAAGAAATATAATTTTCATTTTTTTCTCAAAAAAGCATCCTTTGGTTTTGATGATTGTGATTTGTAGACAATGATTACTCACCTTTGATCCTCGTTTTACAGCACTTAACCAGTCGATAAGATCGTAATATTCGTCCCTTCCATCACCCATCCTTTCGGCATGACAACATGAGAGCACCGATGCCAAGGCCACGATCACAATAAGAACACCAGCAACTAAGCTTTTCATCTTGATATATAGTTTTTAATTTCTCGTACTGAACTGTCTTTTTCCCCTGCAAGAGTCTCCCCCAAGGAGTTGCTGCAAACTGGTTTCTCTTCGCAGACGACGTTTTTCACGGGTTTCTTCCCCCTCAGCGAAGATGGACGATGCTAGTAGCACAAGCACCCGATGCTTTATCTGGAGAAAAGAGAAGGAGAGACAAACGAGTGATGGTGTGTATTCATGAGACGGAGAGAGGAGTAAAGCAATCACGGAACGTGTCAACCTTGAGTGACTATCTTCATCAGGTGGATGATGACACCATTGGAGCGTTATCTATGCAAATTAGCGTCATGTCCGAGAGCGGCTCCTGATATATATCCCTATTGGCGGGGAGTCGAGGCGTGTGTGGGCGAGCGGCTTTGCCGTGTTTTTGCCAGAAAATGTGCAATCAATGGGAGGAGCCAGCGCGCGTCATAACTTTACCAAATAGATTGACAAGGAACGATCACAAGCAAAGGAAGCAATAGAAAGTAAATAGAAATGGTCACCTTGATGAATTCAAGTGGAGAAATCACTGTGTGCGTCAGGAAGATAGCACTGTAATGGTTATCTTTAATAATGCATACAAAAGGCGGGTCAATCAAGAACTCACGAAAGTATTTCGTGATGGTTGTGCGCTTAAAACATTTCAGTCAGTTAGACATTTTGTTTCTACTTCTCAATTTTGTTTCATGACGTATTACTAACTTTATTACTAGTTATTTCAGAATATTCATTATTGACACGTCTATCATGGTGGATAATTGATATTTATACATAATCATGTGAAAAGGGGCTTTGTTTCCGGGTGGTAGACTTCTCATAAGTTCTCATAAACCTGTAATCTTATCACCCACCATCCTAATGTTTGTGAGTGGTATCTGATCTTGGCATTAAGGTTGATTAGAGAAGTGTGACTTACGAAACATACACGTCGGTTGTTTTTATGGGTATGGTAAAGGGTATATTATTCCAGATTTACCTTTGGTAAAGCGAGGATTTTTCTTGCCAATCATTCCGGGTTTTAATGTAATCTTAGTTTCTCCCCCAGGAATGTTATTTCGATGGGAACTTATTTACTCCAAATCGTATGTAAGGTAGTAAATGTTGTATATTAAAACGAAAGTACTGAAATATTAGATTGACTGAAATCCATCACACTCATTAGAACATGGAGACATCATGGTAGCAAGGTCATCGAGACTACTAGCTTGGTTTCCTTTATTTTTATTTTGCTTATTAATCGAAGTTTATCAATCTCTTCCAAAATCAAATTGTTTTCGTAGATTTAACATTCAGTGTAAGTATTGTTTAGAATAAACCCTCAACAAACACTTTGATAGGACAAAAAGTTTGTGCTCTTTCCATTGCCTACCGATTGTTTAAATGCACGTAATAGTGCTATTTCGTTTCATATCTTTATTCGAAATCACTCTTTTTCCGTGTTTTATTAAGATGTAATTTGCGATTCAATGTAGTTGCACTGTACAGTCTTTTTACGGTAATTGCTTTTCTCATGATAATTTATGGTATTTGACTAAATGATAAACTTCTTCGTAGTGTCTCAATATTGTGAATATATGTAAGTTCGGCAGTATGAATCACTTGAGTTTGATTTTAAATTGATTTATTAAACATGATTTGCAGCAACACGCTGTTTTGTACTTGCATTACAAAATAAAAAAGGATATATTTTGAAATGCAAGTTCCATAAAAAGGAATATATACAAGTTGGTTATCACGCCTTCACGCGTAATGATATTTATACCTAGATAGAAAATAAAATACAGTATCAAAATTGTAAAAAGTTGTTTGACCAGTCAAACTTTCTATGCCCACCCCTTTTTCGCGTCACGATGTAATCTGCGCTCTTTCAAAAGGTGCTTCTTTTATTCTGTTAAAACCTTCATTGCCTATGTATATACAATATTTATCAGACCAGACAATACCTCGTACGTGGTGTCTCTAGATACGAGGGTGATGGATTGGGATTTAATAATCCAAAGGATGGTCGGAGAAATAAAGCGGCGGGGGCAACCTTTGACATCAAATATTTAAACCCTGCTCTGCAAATCTTTCAATTAATTGAAATCAAACTTGGATGGCCTTCCGTGCTCTCTGGTGGATATTTATTGCTTTGTGATAGGTCGCATCCTCGATTGAAATGTAAATCAGATAAAGAGATTAATGAGTATAATAGTATAAAATGACACGCAGCTTGAGCCCTTTTTTCCCCGTGTAAATAAATAACAGTGCAAACTCTCCTTTATTGAGACATTAAATATAAACCACCATTAGCAAAGAAATTCTTTTTAAAAATCAGCATCCCACATTACGATTTTAGAGCTCACAGACCGATAGGCTGTCTCTCCTGTAATTAAGTGAAATTCAATTATTTTAAATGTATCTCATATTTTTCTGTTTTTCCCCTATGTAAAACTTGTTCATAGCTACCGATTTTGATTGTGTAGTATGGAGCTTATGTTGCGATGTGTAAAAAAGACGCCTAATAAACTCTATAACTCTATAGAGCCACTCCCGCAACCCATCCTCTCCTTAGAACTATAAGCTAAGAAAGATAACCAACAATCTTTTTCAAGACTACACCAACAGTCATTTTCAGGGCTACACACCCTCAAGATAGATTACCTAGAGTCCTTTTCAGGACTCCTCAATCCTCCCTCTCTCTCACATGGTGCACCCGCTAGCCTACTGTATAACTCTATAATTTATTCGTTTTCGATAGCAGTAATAGAAATATAGCAATTTTTTTTTTTTTTTTTGGCCACAATATTCTCAAGAACTCATCCAGCAGGAGGAATGAAAATCCCATGCTGCTAAAATATAGCTGTCTAATGAAAAGTTATAAGAAATGGTCGTTGTTCAAATAATGACAGATCTTCTGGGCAACGTTTCAGCGTGATATTGGCAAAAGAGATTTCAGACCTCAAATTCTATGGAAGGCATCTACAACATTCAATCGATGTTTAACATTTTGTTTTTCATTTAAAAAAAGAACATCTCTGAGTCAAAATTAATTTCGCAAGTTGAGTGATTAACGGAGGTCATACTTTTTGCAAATTTCACAAGCATGACGCTGTATCATTCCTTGGTCATGTCGGAAGTAGACTTTTTCGAAAGTAAAAAGACCTCTTCCGTAGCAAACGTTAGCGGGAAATTGATTTCATCTTTTTTCTGAGTGAGGTGGTTGCATTTTGTAGTCATGCAACAAAGCGTGTAATCGCTATTTGGGTCAGCCTTCAATGTCAAAGCCATCGAATTCGCGTTAACGAAGTACGCGGAGACACCACCATACACACTCACCCCGTCACGCACAATGAAACCCCACACAAACTCGGGCCGCCCCGCGCACAGTCATTGCTCACGTGAGCGTTTTAATACGAAGGGATGCATTTGCATCACACGTCTCCTTATGTTGTCGACAACCCCAAAATTTCCTGTCAATTCTCAGAAGTCAATGAAGTCCTATTCTATTAAAAACCCAACATGGATATTTTGATTCGCTCTTAAATTAGCCAAATCGTCTCTTCTCTTTAGGGCAATGTTCGATCCTACCAACAGGGGTATCCGCGCAAAAATAGCAACCATCTGTACTTTCCGTCGTTTCCGCCAAATACCTGAGGTTCCATTTAACTTGAACAATTCGATAAACTCACCTCCAGGTGACAGGAGGTGAAGACACTTTTCATAAACCACAACCCCCTCAAATTTTCCCTGTGTGGTTCTCATACAAGAACCCGGGTCTGATTGGTTCCCCTTGAACACAATGTCACTGAACTCGTCGCCTGTTATATATCACTTGCGTAATTCGGAAAGGATATAGATACCATCGGATCTCCTGAAAGAATGAAATGAGAATTATGTTTTCCGGAAAATTCACCTATCCTTTAAACTACACTAAAAGAAAATGCTGGCTGAGGCCGTCGATTTAAGCTTTATCTCAGATATTGCGCATTCATTTCTATTTCATCCCAACTATTGATGAATGCAAACGAAAACGAAACATGCAGTACTTCTTAAGTAATTACAATGTTAGTATTCCTATATGTTTGAAAATATGCATCGAAATATGTTTACCTGTTTTCTGCGAGTTTGGATAGTGTTTCAGCTACTTTAAAAAAAACGAAATGTCTTAATTGAATTCGACAAATTTTTTCGACATTATGAACAATTTATGAAAGGACAAAATAATATTTCGACCGGTTTATGATTAGCAGTGGGTCACATAATTTAACAAGCAAATGATAATTTAAATTATAGCTTTTCATCAATTTTCCAATCGGATTTCCAAACATGACACTGCCCACAGTTTGTGACACGTGCATATACACGATATTGAGTAGTCAAATATTAGATTGAAAGCTTTTTGACGTTTTGGAATCGGGATTCATCATTGACCACGGAAAATTTGAGTGGGGTGTTCCCACTGACAGATTTTTTGTCTTCATCTGCCAGTTTTTTTCTTTCTAAGTCTAATGCTAACCCAAAAGATTTCGTGGTCTAGTGGTACATCATCGGACTGTCAATCACATGTTTAGCGGTTCGTGTCCCGCCGCGGCATTGGGCAAGACATTTACCTGTATTTGTCACTCTCCACACTGGCTTTCAATGGACAGCGGTAGGAAGTGAATGTAATATTTGAGCATCTTGAGCATCGTGTGTGGTGGGTATGTGCGTTGTACAGATATCAATTATTGTTATATTTATCATTTTTTAATTAATAAAGTTATTATTAAGGTATATCATGGACGATTTTTATTTTAATTTGTAAAAACAAGAAAAGTAGGGGAGTTGTGATGAAAAAAATGGAAAGAGAATGCTATTTCAAGGGGATACTATAGGCGCAGTGAGAACGAACAGCAGTTTGAGGAGAAACCCAAGAAACTTGTGACATGTCTCTTCAAATCTCAAGGGCTGGCTAAATAGCAGTCAAGTGTGCTGTGATTAAGGTGCAATAATTATTTTACAGAGCAGTACGGAAACATAAATGTCAATACGTGGGATTGTGTCTTCTCTCCTAGTGGTTTCCTCCCGTCAATAAACACGGTAGATACTTATTTTCTGATTAATTATCTATGTAGGATCTCTCTTTATGTATATATATCCCTTGCTCATTATATCCCTTAAGAAAGGCTATCTAGAGTACATGTTGAAGAGCTGAGTATGCTTTTAGAGTTAAGTCCTCACCTCTATTTACATACTTCTTTTCCAAGTACACATCCATTAGCATCACTTAGTCGTGCAATTATGTCAATTAAAAGATTGAACTTAATTTGTCATTGACGGGGATAAAGACTATGGCTATTTCAGGAAGCAGTGGAT